TCCTTTTTTAGTTCTTGTTTCTTAATTCTACTTCTTTTGGATTTTTAGTTTTCTTTCATTTTAATTATATTTTTTAGTTTTCTTACATTTTTGGGGTTAGGAAATTAATTTGCCTATATAAACGAAAGCTTTTATATTTTTCAGACACCAAGTCATTGCAATATAATTATTAGTTACAATTTTTTGAGTTTTTCAACTTCTTATTTTCAAGAATTTCAATTTTACTTCCTCGCTATAATTGGTATCGGAGCAAGGATTTTTACGTGGCCCGATGACTAATTACAACTTGGCCCCAAATAATACATGAACCTAACTTATGGGCATGATCAAAATAGGTATTTAAATTGAGGATGGAATATTTTCTTGATTAGATTATTAATGTTGAGAATTTCTTTGATTATTCGGGAATTCTCGAGGAATGTCAAGTCAAACTTGTGATGTATAAATCAAAGAGGAGCTTTCGCTAGATGGGAACAGTTGCAATATTGACTTTCAAGCCAAAGTAAATTTGAACATGGGCTGGATGAAAAGATTATTAAAAAACAGTTCCTTTCACCAGATTATAAACAATTCCTTTATCATCAATAGTATAATTGTTGACAAGCCAATCGCACTAGCAACGAGTATATAGAAGAATTTTATCGATTGGCTATTTCTGCACTATTTGTTGTTCTTGGATCTACTCTTCGTGGGCACAAGTATTGTCATCGTCGCCAGTTCATGATTGCAAATTGATGCTTTTACCGGCATCAATTTAAGGGGGATGTCAGTGGAATATAAAGAAACCTCGAATATAAGGAATGCTACCATATTTAATAGATTACTATTAGTAAATATTGTAATTGATGCTTACCATATTTAGTTGTGATTTTGGTTCTACATAATGAGAGAACCTCTCACATTGAGGGGCATAGAATCTTATTGAGTATCATTGAGTATATTTGACACAATGTGGCAGACATCTTCGAATATTATATGCAAGACGAATTTTCTCTTTCGACAACAAATATGGGGTCGAATATTCTTCAGGTGGTGGAGAATGATGTAGGACAATCATATTACAAATAGTATCGAAGTTACTTATTGTTATAGTAGGATTTTGTTTCCTTTTAGTACTTTTACGTTTCTTAATTCTACTTCTTTTGGGTTTTTAGTTTTTTCCTTACATAGTTAGAATTAGGGAACTAATTTGCCAATACCAACGTATAAACAAAGGCTTGAACACTTTTTCAATCAACAATTCATTGCAATGATTATTCTTCACAAATTTTTGAGTTTTTCAACGTTCTTGTTGTTTTCAAATTTTCAATACCGCTTCCGCACCATTTTAATACCCTTGTTTTCACTGGCACAGGAAGAATAACAGCATATTTGCCATCTGGAGGTCCATTTGTGCGAATGGATAGCCATGTTTATCCAGATTATGTGGTTCCACCCAGCTACGATTCCCTGCTTGGAAAGGTCAGTTAATTCTGTTTATGTTTTGTGTATGTACAATCTGTGATTTTCTGTCTACTTCATCAAAGGATAGAGAAAAAGAAATCCTATCCTCTCTTTTGATGATTTCCCTTTTTTTTTAAGTGATAAGAGAATACTACATACATACATACATACATATCACTTTAATATTTTGCATTGTTAGTATGTCAGATATCTGATTGGGGGGTAGATTTATGCTGACAGTTGTTCAGAAATATATCACACTTTTTATATTTTTCATCCTTCGTGATTTATCACAATTTTTTTGAATTTAGATATGTACAAAACCTTCAAATACTGGATTGATAATGTGGATTGGCAGAATCAGGAAACTGGCATTTTCATAAATTTAAGCCTGTTATTAAGCTCTTATAATTAAGTCTTTTTACTTAAACTGGAAGTGCGTGCATGGTTTAATACTAGATTCACTTGCTGAATATACAGTTTTAGCCACCTAGCCATCATGTACACATCCAAGCAATTTTCTAATTTAGCCCCTATTTGGTTTTGATTAAAATCTAAGTCAAAGTCAACAATTAATTTTAATCACACATTTTATGGGACCTA